GTTTCTTTCTTTTTTTTTTTTTTTTGAGACAGAGTCTTGCTTTGTCGCCCAGGCTAGAGTGAGTGCCATGGCGTCTGCCTAGCTCACAGCAACCTCAATCTCCTGGGCTCAAGCAATCCTGCTGCCTCAGCCTCCCAAGTAGCTGGGACTACAGGCATGCGCCACCATGCCCGGCTAATTTTTTCTATATGTATTAGTTGGCCAATTAATTTCTTTCTATTTCTAGTAGAGACGGGGTCTCGCTCTTGCTCAGGCTGGTTTCGAACTCCCGACCTCGAGCGATCCGCCCGCCTCGGCCTCCCAGAGAGCTAGGATTACAAGCGTGAGCCACTGCACCCGGCCTCATTGTAGTTTTGATTTGCATTTCCTTTAATGATTAGTGGTGTTGACCACCTTTTTAATATACCTGTTGGCTGTTTGTGTAATGTCTTTGTTGGAGTCATTTGCCCATTTTTAAGTCTGATTGGTTACTATTGAGTTGTAGGAGTTCCTTATGTATTTTGGATATCAATCCCTTATCAGACGTGGTTTGCAAATATTTTTCCCATTCAGTAGGTTACCTTTACACTCTGTTGATTGTTTCCTTCTCTGTGCAGAGGCTTTTTAGTTTGACGTAGCTCCATTTGTCTATTTTTGTTTTTATTGCTTGCGCTTTTGGTGTCATATCCAAGAAATCATTGCCAAGGCTAATGTCATGGAGCATTCCCCCTATGTTTTCTTCTAGAAATTTTATAGGTTCTGGGCTTAAAATATTTATGTCTTTATTTATTTATTTTCTAGAGAGCAGTTCTCATTGTCACCAGGCTGGAGTACAGTGGCCCAATCATAGCTCACTGTAACCTTGACCTGCTGGGCTCAAACGATTCTGCCACCTCAGCCTCCCGAGTAGCTGGGACTACAGGTGTAAGTCACCATGCCTGGCTACGTTTTTAATATTTTGTAGAGATGGGGGTCTCACTGTGTTTCCCAGGCTGGTCTCAAACCCCTGGCCTCAAGCAGTCCTCCCACCTCGGCCTCCCAAAGTGCTATGATTATAGGTATGAGCCACCTCGCCCACCCAAATGTTTATGTCTTTAATCCATTTTGAGTTGATTTTTCGTGCATGATGTAAGATAAAGATCCAATTTTATTCTTTTGCATATGGATATCCAGTTTGTTCATACCATTTGTTGAAGAAACTATCCTTTCCCCATTGTATATTCTTGGCATCCCCATTCTTCAACATTCTTCCCTCAAATCATCACATACCTCCTTCTCTCCCTTTATTTAGGTCTCTGTTCAAATGTCATCTCTTCAAAGAAGGACTTTAAAATGTCTCCTCACTGAAGCTCTCCATTCCTTTAACCCACATTATTTTTCTTGCTGGCACTAATCAACACTTGAACTTTTATCCACCGTGTGCCTCTCTCTTTGGCATGAAATGTCCGCAGGGCTATGGATGTTGTTATCTGCTGTGTTCTACCCTAGGGTGCTGCCACACATAGTAGGTGTTCAGGAAATGTTTGTGAAATGCACTAAAGAAACCAGCATGGGATTGGTCAGACACACCACAGTCTGACACTGCTTCACCTCCCAGCTGTGTTATCTGTAGGGGCGTCCCTCAACCCAGCAGGCTCACGCCCAGATCTCCCGGCCCCCCTGAAGATGCAGACCCTGACGGAGGAAGACTGGGCTGGGCTGGACGTTCTGCACGTTTTGCCAGCTTGCAGCTGATGCCCAAACTGTTGGTCCTGGGACCAGATTATGAGTACCGAGGACTTAACTCCTCTGAGCCTCGGTTTTTACATCTGTAAAATAGTTCATTTTGGAAAACGATGGTAAAGTGTAAGGCACCATACACGGGTGCCTGCACTCGGCAGGGCCCCGGGGCCTGTCAGGCCTTGGACATTTTCTCACTTCCTGTCTCCAGTGATCCTTCCTGTCTCCAGTGCCCACCCCCTCACTCAGCCCCCGCTCCCATCCTAGGTAGAGCCTCCTCCTCTTACTTCTCCAGGGCTGGGCAGCCCTGCCTGTTGTGGGCAGGGGTTGGGGCGGATTCTGGCATTTCGACAGTCATGGGGATCTATGCAAATGAGATGCAAAGCAGCAGCTAATGAGCCCTGATTGCTTTTGCCCAGGCTCTGGGAAGCATGTGGGAGAACTGTGTGGAGCTGGAGGGAGGGGCAGTGAATGCTTCTGGGGGTTGGGCAAGGAGGCAAGGAGGGGGTGAGAGAGGGGTTGGCTTCGCCCAAGGGCATGAGGGCAGCGGCTCTGTGGCTGGGCAGGACACTGTCCCCATGTGTAGGCTGATCCCGCCTGTGGGACTGGAACACAGTTAAGGTCCAGGAACAGGAACTGAGGTCCGGCATGGTGTGAGAGCATGTGTGCGTGTGTGTGTGTGTGTGCATGCATGTGACGTGTAGGAGGGTGTCCCTGGGCCAGTGTGGGACCTGCAAAGGGGGGAGTAGAAGGCCACAGGCAGGTAACTCAGGGCCTTCCCAGAGGCAAATGGGGTCAGATTAGGCTGACAGTGGGGGCTGGGTTGGGCGGATGCTCTCTGGGCTGGGAGGGAGGGGGTGACAGAAGGGGTCAGTTCTCCCGCAGGCCCTGTCTGGAGTCCTGAGTGTGGGAGGGCAGGGCAGGGTCTGCCAGGTAGCAGATGGGCCGGATCAGGCTGAAGGAGCGTGGGTGGGAGGGCAGCTGTCTTTGGTATCCCTGGATGGGCCAGCTCTTTAGGAGAAAGGTGATCTGGTGCTGGGGACCGGCAGGTGGGCTGGGGGCTCTGCTTACAGCACCTGGGAACTCAATCCCTCCGGCCCCTCGCTGAGGCCGCCTCGCTTTCCAGGAAGCCTCTATTCTTGGGCACCAGGCTTCCCCACCCTCCTGCCTGGGCCTCCACATGACCCTTTGCAAGGACCTCCAGGCCTGGGACAGCCAATGTTGGGCCTCTGGCTCAAGGAAGGCAAGGTTGGAAGTCACCTCTGAGGTTGTTTGGGGGTCCTCACTTGGGTCCTACCACTTGACTGACACTTCAAGTACATGTGACTCTGTCCTGCCTTTGATCTAAGGATAGGAGTGAACTTGGCTGTGAAACCTTTAGAAACTGGGTGGCTGTTCCTGTGAGTCTTAGTGAAACACTGGAGAAGGCTTGGCAGGCAGAGGGTTCAAGTCCCAGCCCAGCCATTTGCTGACACTGTCATCGTGGGCCAACTGCTCCATCTCTCAGAGCCTGTTTCCTAATAGGTCTGGTGGCCTCACCATGCAAGACTGCCGTGACAAGCAAAGACACTGCTGGAGTGGCCCTGAGACAGACTGGGATGGGTGTTCAGTAAATCCACCAGCTCGCCATGCCCTCGAGGGCAGGGATTTTGTTTTGCTCACAGCTGTATCCTAGCACCTAGAACAGTCCCTGACGTGTGGTCAGGGCCTGGTAAATACCTGTTGAATGCACGAAATGCTCATCTATTCCAGAGTGACTTTTTCCCTTACTCTAATTGGCAGCAGTCTTATCATGAAGAGGGCGCTTAGATGTGATAAATATGGAAAGCCATTGTTATTGTCAAGAGGCAGCCCTTTGCTGAGTTTTTGGTGGCTTCTGGGCCTTTCCTGTCGTATCTGCCCTCTCTGGGTGTGTGGGGTCCCTGAGAATTGCCCTGGGCCAGAGGGACTGCAGGGGCCTTTGCCTGAGGCACCGAGGTGGTACAGGGCTGTGTCCCCACTCTGGCCTCCTGCCACTCCCCGCCCCCAAGTTGTGCCCCTGGGGGGCTGTCTGCAGCCTGAGGCTGTCTACCCCACTGTGACCATTTATGACCATGACTCCAAGTCCCAGGGCTGGACAGGCAGGGAGTGGGGGGACTTCGGCAGGATCTGGTCTGGGTTTTCAGAGTGAGGTGGGGGAAGGGGGAGCCTGTCTCGCCCCTCACCTGTCCCCCCAGCAGCAGAGCTGAGACACTGCTGAGATGAGATTAGTGCCAATCCCTGGGCAGGGCCGAGCAGACGGTCAAATCCCCTCCTGGGCTGCGGCTTCTCACCACGTCCCTCCCACAGGGCGAGGGCGGGGCTTCGCGTGCAGAGTGCCCTTGTGTGGAAGAGTTTGCCTGTTGCATGTTCTGCAGCCATATAGATGTGTGTGCACGTGTCTTAAAGATGTGTGTATGCTGATGTTAGTGTTGTGTGTGTGGTGTGTACGTGTGTGCACAGTTGTGTGTGCGTGTTGCGTGTACGTGTGTAGGTAGATACACAGACGTGTGGAGATGCCTGTGTGCAAATACTTGTAGTGAGTGTATCTGTGAGTGTGCTGTCGGGGTGCTCGCGCCCTGACACACATGGGTGTGTATGGATCACACGTGTGCCGTGCAAACCTAGATGTGGACTCTGTAGGGTGTGCGGCAGCCATGGCCTGTGGGAGAAGAATCAGAGTTGGGTCACAGGGCGTCAGTGCCAACAACTAGCCCAGGAACCTTGGGTGCTCAGACTGTTGTTTCGCTGCTGTGGGCCTCAGCTTCCAGTCTGTCAAATGGGCATGAAGCCTCCTAGCACACCGTGGTGGATGAGCATCTCATACTCACCCTTGCTCAGAAAAAACTCAGAATGAAATTTTGAGTTTTAATCAAGTGAGAAAATAAATGATTAGACACATAGAAATGTTTTACAGAGCAGCATGCATTGCGGTCAGATTTTAAGACCCCAAGGGAAGCGCATGGAAGGGTGCAGTTGATGATGTCTGGGAGGGAAGTTGGGAGGCAGGATCTTGGGGAGAAAGAGAGGAAAGGGGCTGGAGCAGGGCCCCAGCAGTCGAGGGCGGCGTGAGCCTGTGTCCCCACCAGCCTCTCTGAAAGTGAAGTGGTGATGCGGGTGCCATGCAGAAGGCGGCGTCCCCTGCTGTACGGGGAGGGAGGCTGTCTGCGGAGCATTGCCCAGTTGCCATAGAAACGAGCAGAAGGAGGTGGGTGGCTGGAGCAGGAGGCGGGTTGGGAGGAGGCGGGAGGAGGCGGGAGGCGGGGAGCTGGCTCCTGCAGTTCTGCGCCGCTGCCTTCCTGAGTGAGCCAGGAGGGAACCCAAGAAGACAGAGCCCCCAGCCCGGCGCCAGGCCCCTCCCCGCCCGCCACCACGGAGGAGAAGGAGGACAGCCAGCCTCTCTGGCCCTGGCCTGGCCCAGCCGGGGCAGTAGGCTCCTACCTGCCCCCGGCTCGGTGCCCACACGGGCCCAGGTAGGCATGGACGGCTGGAAGAGGCTGTGTGGACAGTGGCACCTGGGAGGAAGCACACAGGCCAGCCAGGGGGCGGGGGCCAGCAGCTTGGTGGGGAGCAGGGTTTGGGGCACAGCCGGCATCCTGAGAGGCCCTCCCCAGAAACTGGCCCTCCCCATTGGGAGGACCGTCCTCCTCTGCTCCTCCATCCCTCTCTCCGCCACTGCCACAGGTCTGGGCTCCCTGGGAGTGGGCTGAGGGGGCTGGAGCCTCCAGGGACCCACAGTCCAGAGCAAGGCAGTGGGGCGCGGGGGCAGGAGAAGTGAGGGTGCCCCTCCCCTCTCAGGGCACTCGGACTCAGGTCTGGCCACCTGAAGCAAGCAGACTCACCGTCCACCCTCAACGCCAGAGCCTCCCTGCTGGCCCTGGACGGTCCCAGGCATTGGGCTCAGGGCCCCTGGTCAGGCCGGACTCATCCTTCTCTCTGCCCCTCCTCGCTCTCCCTGCAGGCCTCCTGAACCCCCCGGCCCCCCCACCCCCCACCCAGGTATCCCAAGAGACCCCTGAGCTTATCCCCGCAAGCCCAGGGCCTCCATGTTAAGGTACAGGGCAGCGGGCCTGGGTTGGGGTGGGAGTGCCTGTTGCCCCCTCCCTTCTCTGTCCCTCTGCTGCATTGCTGCTGGGGACAGACTCCGATGCTGCTGGGGGCACTGCGGAGGAGCCTCTGCTGCTGGGAGCAGGTGGGAAGGCGCTGGGAGGAGCTGGGCAGGGAGGGGCAGGAGGGGCCTGCAGGAGTGCAGGGGTGGGGTGTGCCTGGGCCACGGTTGCCCTGGACCGAGCTGAGGCACCTTGGCCAGCCTGGGCAGGAAAGCCTAGCCCGAGAGGGGTGGGGGCGGCGCGCCTCAGGTGTGCTGACAGCCTGCCCCGCTCCGCCTGCCTCGCCCACCACCGGCCAAGCGTAGGGCGGGGCTTCCCCTTCCCGGGCACTCCGCAGGCCGGGGTCAGAGGACCTGGCATAGGGCCGGAGGGGTCTTGTGCCGAGGGGTCTTGTTCCGGGGGAATACGTGGTGGGCTGCTGCGTGGCTTGGTTCATTTCTGCACACGTTAGGCCCACTGAGCACTGGCCCAGGGGCACCCACTCTGGGGTCAAGGGCTTGGGAGGTGAGGGGGCAGGTCTCAGGGTGGCAGGCGCAGGGTGGGGTTTACACTGACGCTGTCTGCCCCCGATCCTCTGAGCCCTGCACCCTCCGCTCCCACCAGGGTGGGGCTGGCAGCTGTCCTGCCTCCCCTCCTACAGCGGGCCTGGCCTCAGCCGCCTGTCAGAGTCACCAGCCGGAGCTGTCCCTGTCCCTGCTGGGAAAGAGGCTGATGAGGCCGGAGGGCAGGTGCTGTTGGTGAGCGCTGGAAGGAGCCGTCCCTTTCCCAGCCGCTCCGGTCCTGCCCTGCCCTCACACTCCTGCCCACTTCCGCTGGGCCGCACGGCTCCCTGTCATGCTCTGGCTCTCGTGGCCCTGGGGTCCATCTGTGCTTGCCATGTCTCTCCCCTCCATCCCTGCCTCCAGACTCTGGGGTGTGAGTCCCCCAGAGCGGGCTCCAGCCCCACCCCGTGGCACACAGGGTCCCCACAGCCCAAGGCACCTGCCTGCAAGCCAGGTTGGGGCCCGGCCTCCCCTGCCCCACCCTTGTCCACCCAGAGGGAGCTCACAGGAGGCCCAGGAGCACTGGGAGGTTGAGCTCAGGGGTTGTGCCGGGACTGGAAGAGCAGTGTGGCCCAGGCCGGCCCCTGCCCACATGCCCCAGTCGGTGCCTAGGGTCACCCCAGGTTTCCCTGACTGAGCTCCGTCCCCCCAGCGCTGTTTGTCCCCATCTCAGCAAACAGCGCTCGCCTGCCAGCTGTCAGCCCAGACCCCAGAGGGCGGGAGGCGTCCTTGGTCCTCTCACAGTCCTGTCCAGGCCACCTGCGGCTAGTGTTTCCAGTCCCCTCATGCTTCTAGTGTTCCCTCGCTCTGAGCCCCTCTGCCCCCCAGGACTGCAGCTGCCTCCTGGAGACTCCCTGCCTACCTCCCCCCACCCCACAGTGCACCCTCCCCCCAGCAGTCAGGGACCTTTAAAATGGAAGCCGGACCACATCCCACCTCTTCTCAAGCCCTGCAGTGGCTCCCATGTCACTCTGACCTACCAAACCCAAGTCATCTGCATCCCAGCCCCTCTCCCTCCTCCTCACTCACTTGCTGCCTTCTGCCTCAGGGCCTTTGCACTGGCCGGTCTGCCTCACCTACCCCAGGTCCTTGCTCAAATGTCACTTCCTCTGAATGACCTTCCCTGGCCACCTTGTAGGAAACAGTGTCACTTCTAGCCCTCCCACACCACCCCCACCCCCCTTCCCTGCCTTATGTTTCTCTACGGCCCTTGTCACCTTATAACACACTTTATCATTCATGTGTTTGCTTTCTTGCCTGCCCAGCCCCTGTGGAGTGTCAGCCCTATCAGGGCAGGAGTTTTCTGTCTTGTTCACTGTCGTGGCCCAGATTTGCACCATGAGGATCAGGGCTGCAATTTGAGGCCAGGCGCGTCGCTGGGCGGCTGGCCCTCAGCTCTGTGCCCGGCTGGAGGGCTGCGCTTCCGTCCTCACAGGGGAAGGGGATGCCCCCGTCTGGGCAGTTGCCCCAGGGCGTCAGTTTGGACAGGACACTGGGCATGGGCTGGGTCCACATTTCCTCCTTTTCTCCACTAGCCGAGCAGGAGAGCAGAGCCAGCCGCATGTGTCCAACCAAAGTGCCGCCGCAGGGAGGGGGCTGGTGGCCCCTTCCTCCTGGTCGGAATTCACTGAACCCTGAGTTGCGTGCCTTTGGGAAAGCATGCTGCGCCCCACCAGGAGTGCCACCCACGGAGGGGGCAGGCCTGGCCCCTGCTCTCCAGGCGGCCACAGAGGCAGTGGGCTCAGGACAGACAGACAGACCCCTGCAGAGGGGACAGCTGTGTGACGACTTGTCTTGAGAAAAGGGACGCACCCAGAGCAGAGAGGATGGGCTCCTGCCCCACCTGTGGGTGTCTCACTTTGGGTTCCCCCAGAAGCACACCTAGACAAGGATGTGGGTTGTGTGGGAGGTGGCCTGGGCCTGGGGAAAGGAGACGGGGCGGGGAGGCAGCCGCCAGGTTACGGCTGGGCAGCGGGGGCTCAACCCCCCAGAGGGCGGGGTACGCGTGCGCCAGCCTCGGCAGGCACCCTCCACCCTGTCCCTCTCGCCCTGCCGGACTCTCTTGTAACTTCCGTCACCACCCAGCTGGTGACATTTATTTGCTCCTTGGTGCTTTGCCTGCACCGGAGCGTGAGCACCAAGTCCCTGCCGGCCGCAGCGCCTGGGCGGTCTCCCCGCAGAGGCACCCCAAGACCTGCGGCCTCGGTGAACTGCTGCTCGCTCCTTGGCCGGAAGCAGGCAGTGCCGGGCGGCGTTGGGGGCGACGCTCTGCAGGGAGAGGGCCCGGGGCCTCTGGGTGGCTGCGGGAAGGATGGAGATGGAGATGGAGAGGAGCAGAAGGTCAGGGGCCTCGGGTCGGAAGGGAGGAGGGCCTGGGGCCTGGTTTTCAGACCCAAAGGGAAGACCAGAGGAAGCCAGGCCTGGGCTCTTCTGCCACGGGGGATCTGGAGGCCTGGGGTCCTGGCTGAGGCCTGGCAGTCCCGGCAGGACTTGGGGCATCAGCTGAGGGGGTGAGGTCCTCCAGAGAGCACGGTCTCCCGCACCGGGGACTCATTTCATCCTACACCAGCCCCATGGGGTAGGTGGTCTCATCACCCCCATTGTGCAGATGAGGAAACTGAGGCACAGAGAGTTTAAGTAACTTGCCAAGGCCCCATAGCCAGCGAGGAGTAGAGCTGGGACTCGAACCCCACTTCCAGTCACTGGCCACATGGGCAGCGCCCTAGCTACCGTGCTGACCCAGCGGGAGTGCCTGTGCTTGCCAGGAGGGCAGGTCGCCAGCCCTGAGCCAGCAAGACACGGGTCAAGGTGGATGTGCCCAAGAGCCGGTGCCGGGTACCAGGTGAGGAAGGAGCGGTAGGCGGGGGCTGCGGTATTCAGGGAAGGCTTCTTGGAGCGGGAGGAACTGAGTTGGCGCTGAGGGGAAGCAGGGTGTTTGCAGGGAGAGGTGAGTGATGGGAGGCGGCGTGCGCCCCTGGCAGGGAGAGGCCTGGACGTGGGGACACCCTGGGGGAGGGGAAGGACAGCGCCTCACAGCTCACCCGAATCCTCCCTGCTGCACGGGAGGCCCCAGCACGGATGGACTGGGCAGCGTCCTTGTGTGGCCCAAGTCAGGTGCGGCGAGACCGTGTGTCCCCGCCGGGTGAGGTGAGGGGCAGGGAGCTGCCGGGATGTTCCTGGGACCCGGGACCCCGGGCGAGGGCGGCAGCTCTGGCTTCCCACAGCCCACCCAGGTCTGAGCTGAACCTGCCCTGGGGAGAAGGCCTGAGGCCAGGGTGGGGGGAGGCACGGGGAAGGACTCACCCGCTCTGCCTCCTCCCTGCCGTGTGACCTTGGACAAGTTGTTTAACTTCCCAGAGAAGGCCTAGAAGTCACTGCCCGTCCCAGTGGGTTAGCGACAGTGTGTATGGAGAGGCTGGCACACAGTAGGTGCTCAAAATGGTTGTTGTAGTTGATACAGAGGGAGTGGAGAGTGGTAAGGACACCTGCTGTGTCTGTGTGCCCAGGTCCCGGAGGAGGGAGGGCACTGTGCTTGGGCACAGTCGTTTGGGAGCTCTCGGGGAATGGGGGAAGGTCAGGCCAGGAGGGGGGCAAGGAGGCCGGAAACAAAAGACAGATGGGATGTGGGACTCCCTCTTGTGGGACCCTGGCTCTTAGTCCTGCCTCCATCATCACTGGCATTTATTGAGCAGCTACTGTGTGCAAGTGCTGTATGTGGCTCTGGGCTTCAGCATTCACTGTCTGTGCTATTTAGTGAGTGAGTGTCGCAGAGGGCCCCTGGCGTTCATTCGTCCATTCTGTACAAGCGTGCCGCGCACTCAC